TATCTGCGGTGCCAGTGGGTAATCTATATGTTTGTCGTGCAGTTCCTTCGGATACTCTAAATCAACATCTAAAATATAACCTACATCCCCATCGTCATAATTTAATATATCCTCTTCTGTTAATACATTATCAAACTTAATATCTTTATACGGTAGTTTCTTACACATCGCCAATCCATAAAGATTATTAGCGTCAAGGTAGTTAATATAAGATGACTCTTTTGAATTATCATAATCATCTTCCATGTATTTATTATTTGCCTCCGCTTTTCTGTGGGACACTTGGCACATGCCACCTCTAAGACCAGACTCAACCATTTTATAAACCTCTTCGTCATAAATCAAGTCTAAACATATACCAGTTTTTAACAACATAGCGTCCCAACTGAAATTAGGAAGTGTGAGATAATGAGCAGGGTCTAAATTATAATCTTCAAGGCATTTGTTTCTGAAGTTCTCAAACACATCCGTTAATAATAGTACATCTGTTTGTAAATATAAATCATGATACTGTCCTAAGTTTTGAATGTTAAAGTGTTTCCATATGTGTTGTGCTCTTTCATTTTCATCATCTTTTATATTAGACTCTGTTAATTTACTATAAAACTCCTCTTTATTTGGTAGTTGTGTTTCTTTGAACTTATTAAAATCAGTCATGTAGTCGTATGGATAAACACCCTTATCAGTTAATAAATCAAGGTCCTCAACACTATTAACATACAGATTTTTATTACTATGATAAAAATGATTGTTCCAATCCTCACGTTTCTCATTTCCTTCATATTTGGTTAGTTTAACTAGTTTATCTAAAGATGAAGATAAGAAACTGAAACTGTCCTTGAACTCCAACTGTTTTAATGAGAAGGTTATGTATTTTTCACTGTTCTGCGCTATTACGCTTACGCCTTCTTTATTTGTATTCAACTTGTCAAAGTGCGATATTATTAGGTGAGCGTCATAATTTTTAAGATTATGAAAGAACACTGGTATTTTAAAGTATCTAAAACAGAAGTCCAGATTACATTTATTATGTGCAGGTCCTCTATATAAGCCTGTAAAGTGACAATGGTCTTGAACCTTTGTTTTAGCGGGGTCTTTTTGATTAAATGTCCCGTTACATATACAACATCTTGTAGCCTTCTTGTGTTCTTCCTCTTGCTTCTTTGTTATTTCTATCTTCTTAACCGTCTTCATCTTCTTCATTATATCCGCTCTTATGTTGTTCATCGTTGAACAGAATTTATCCATACAATCCTCACCCCTATATAAATAAGGTGTGGCTTCGTTTGTTATGCTTTTAACAACATTAAGCATAAAACCGCACGGTTTATGATGTTGATAAGTTCCCTTGATTCCGTCCGTTGTCTGTGTAGTTAAACATTCAAAGTCACCATAAATAACATAAGGGCACTTGAGTTTCTTATAATGGTTCTTAAAAAGCATCTTCTCTTTGGTTTCTGGCATTTCTATATTTTGTACCTCATTCTTCATACAACCTTTCAACAAATGGTTATTTAGAATCTTTTCATTTGTAAACCCTTTCTGACAGTATGTACAATGAAAATATTTACTTCTATCCTTGTTCGTTTGACTCCCCATTAATCGGCTGTAATCTTTTATAAGGGTATAGTGATTAAAACCATCTTTTTCAATAAGAAGAAGGTTTATATGACAAGATGGTCTTATAACTTTAGTTATCCTATGAGCTATCATTTTATCAACGTCTGGGTTTATCTTATAAACATTAACTGAAATGCTGTTCTGATTGATATCCTCAAAGTTATCTATATCATCATTAGAAGCAGGGAAGTTAATACCCTCCCAGTTTATTAGATTATCATTTTCCTTTAACTTGTTATAATGATACATTCTGTCAGGATGGTCTTTTTTATAGATGTTATAAAACTTGGATTGGACACAGTATTTGAAACAATACTCGTCATCATTTTTAATATTAATACACGCCTTCTTCAAAGCAACCCATTTAGGTAGCTCAATGTATTTACCCCCTCTTGTTGGATTGTATTTGTCATAATGAATATGAATACCATCCACCTTTTTTATTGTGTATCCCGATTTTCTTAACTGTGAGTTCTCAACCTTAATCTCTATATCAGAAGCCATGTTATCAATAGCTTTCTTTAACTCCTCTTCGTTAAGAACGGTATATATTCGGCTTGGTATTCTTATTCGTCTCTCTCCCTCCTCTTCTTCAGGATGGTTAAACGCAATGTCCACATCAATCCTTATTTTCATGTTCTTAGAGGTTTGTAAAAACTCCTTTAGTCTAGGTTCCTGATATTTAATATAAGACAAACCTCTATAGCCCTTGAGGTTTATGTTTGAAATATAAAAGGAGTTAGCGTATTTTGAGAAAGCACTCTTTTCATCTGTGATTTTCGCTTTCTGTTTGATGGCGTATTTCTTTAATGCTTTTCTCACTGCTACTCCTTGAGAGGCTCGTTTTAAAATAGCGTGTCTTTTATAACCCTGTGTTTTTGATATTTGGTTTAGTTTTCTTTTCAACCTGTTTGAAATCTCTTTATCTTTATTATAATTGTACTCAACATTGTTAATAATCAACTTGTTTAATTCTTTATCTCCTCTCTTCTTAATTTCAGCGATGTCGCTGTTTAGTGCATAATTTAAGACATCCCTCGCCGGAGGCTCTACCATATACCCATATAAGGCGGCTACTCTTTAAGTAGTTTTTCTGGGGCGCTGGGGGCTGGGAGGCTGGGCTGGGTTTAGCAACATGAGCATCAGATGTTCCAACCCATGGGACGGCGTAATTGGCGACAGCCTTTTGAGGAAAAAGCACAACATAAGCCCCTAATTTTTACAACTCCCGCCGAGGGGTCTTTTCAAAATGGCGGTTTTTTGGGTCAAATGTAAAACAAAAGAAGGTTTAAAAAAACACCGCCAGATTGAAAATCCCCTCACAGACTACTAGAAAAACTTACAAAAGCTCCTAAACCCTAAGAGCAGAAAACCCTGAATACTAACAACCCTAAACCTAAACCCTAAACCCTATAACCCTAACAGCGTCTCAACGATAGGAAGAGCCGACATCGGCTTCTGTATTTGTCCGACACATTGGGACTTCTGCGTCTCAATGATGAGAACCTAGCGGTTTTAGGGTATTTAGGGTTTAGGGGATGGGAAAGTCCATACAGTAAGGTGACTAAACTTATTTTTTATGTTCCCAAGGTCTATGATATCTACTATTTTACAGTTTTGGGTGTATTTTGTATGGGATTTGCTTATATTTTGGGACCATTTTATTTTTAGGTATGATTTTATGAATATGACTACTTGATATCTGTTTTTTTTTGGGTTTTAGGGGTTTAGGATGTAGGATGGAAAGAAATATGAGGTTTGTATTGTCTTTATTTGGGTTTTACTATATCCAAAAGCCTAAAACCCTGAATGCAGTCACTCTGAGGCTGTCGCAATGCTTTAGTCGGATTCACACTGTCTCGCTCCAGTTCTGAGATGGCTGTCATCTCACAACGAGCCACGCATCAGACAAGAGGTTTTATTGTTAGAGTTTGATTTTTAGGGTCTAAATGGTGTTAGGTTTCCAACTGAATCGGTTGGACAGTTACAACTGAATCGGTTGGGTAGTTACAACTGCATCGGTTAGAGGTTTCCAACTGAATCGGTTGGGCAGTTACAACTGAATCGGTTGGGCAGTTACAACTGAATCGGATGGGAAAATAGGTATTTCTACTGATTCAGTTTGCGCTAGTAGGTTGTTTAACCGACATGTCTGATAAGGAGGCTCACATAACAGAACAACGAGAACCAGAACCTTCTGCTGGTTCTTCAATTGTCTGATCTTGCGGTCTATTCCGCAATCTCTTTCGGTATGAAATGACTTCTGAAACATCTGAGGCAAACTGAGAATTAGCAAAGACTACATCACCAGACCGAGTAGTATTATAGTTGTTGGCAAATGTTTCTATGAACGAGGCTATTATGTCGTGCTGAACCTTACGGATATGCTCAACGCTTTCGTCAAGCATGGAAAGTTCCGAAAGGAACACGTAGCTCGTTTGGATGATTTTCTCATCCGCAACACAACCTGAAACCTTCTCAAAAATTTTAGACAAGTCTTTCAACTTATCATCCGGAAGGGCTTCAAGAGCATCAGAAAAGATGTTCTCGTTGATGCTTCGCGCTTTGGTCTCATTCATCTTGTTGATGATGGGCTCAAGTAGATGACGAAGAGCATCAGGCATCTGACCATTCGTCTCAAACTCGGGGAGTTTCTTAGAGGCGTTGGCAACGGTCTTCTTCACTAGGTTCTTTAGAGCCACATCACGCTTGACGTGAGGTTTGATGACGCTGTTCTTTGCCCCACCAAGAAGTCGTAGATGAAGATCAAGACGTGTAGGTTCTGAAGAGCTTGAAGCAAAGTTTATGAATGAAGAGACGGGTGTCTCATCACTCAACGCCTTCCCGTTGAACTTGAAGTAGAAAGCCTCGGTGCTGAGAGGAGCTTGTTCGCTGAACTTATCCTTCAAATCCTCCACGAAAAAGAAGGGCGAAGCAAAAACGCGGACACTGTTCATCTCCATCTCGCTGTTGAAGACCACATCAACCGGTTTAGAAATGATGCCACACTCAACCGCTTTCGTGAGCATCTCGTTGAAGGCAACCATTTTTTCGAGGTATGGGTCTTTCAAGGTGAGGCTACTCTAAAATCAAGTGCTCTACAAAATGGGCTTCGGAATGAATCAAGTTTTCAACAGCTCAAGTTGCAAATGCTCAAGTTGCAACATCTCAAGTTGCAGATGCTCAAGTTGCACATGCTCAAGTTTCAACAGCTCAAGTTGGCAGAGCAATCTCTACGCTTCAGGTCTGCTTCGCAAATCAAGCTGTACGGATTTGCGGTAAATCTGTCCTTGACGAATCTTTAAAGAACCGTCACAAGCAAGTATCAATGGGAAAGCAACATTGCTACATCATAGATACTAGAAGAAAATGCGATTGCATCACTTCTTCTTGGGCATTGCCTTGCTCTTCGCCTTCTTTGGAGGCGGGGTGTTGCGTAGCACAATCTCATCGTTCTCCTTCATCCCCCAGCCACCCATTGAGCGACGGCTGTGCTCCTGCATGAGGTTCTCCTTGTAGAAGAAGGACTTCTCCTCAATCATCTTGATGGATTTGAAAGAACCCGACCACTGCTTACGGAGAATCTTGCGGATGTCCTTCATCGTGTCATCGGAGCCCACGGTGATTGGGAAGGTGTTGCCGTTGTAGAGTACATTGATCTTCATCTTCGTTTGCTTCTCTGTCTTTGGCTTCATCTCGTCATAGCGCTTCTTTGCGAGGCTGAACTTCTCCATCCACTCAGCCGCTTTGTCATTGACATCATCAAACAGCTTCTCAACCTGCTCAAAGGTTTTGAGGGAGGCGAGGCGAACCTTGAACTGGTCAATCGTCTCATCCTCCTCATTGAAGTCATCGCTGTCATTGATGAAGTCATTGCCGTCATTGAGGTATGCTTGGTCAAAGGTGGTTGGCGAGTGATCACTGCCATCATCGCTGTTGTAGCCACCCGATCCCGAAGGCTTGGAGGAAGCCATGCTCAACACACGAAGTGAGGGAAGGATTGAAGCAGTGATCACAAAAGTTCTGCGAATGCTCGGTTTCTCCAATGCACAACTGTTCAAGCACTGAAAACCATCAAAGGCACCCACAAAATGAAAAGTGAAGGTAAAAGTACTTAACAAAATGAGAACGAACAAGGTGGAACACTAAGCCCCAGAAAAAATAACGAATGAGACAAGCAGAATTTTAGAGAGAAAAAACGAGATGTGAAGAAAAACGAAACAGGGAACGAGAAAGAGAGAACGAAGAAGGAAGCGAAGTAAGAAAAAACGAATAAGGAACCCAGAACCCCAGACCCGGAGCCCTAGCCCCTGAATCCTTGTTTTACCTATTTTTGGGGGAAGGCAGCGGAAGCAGACAGCAAGGGCAGCGAGGCACTGGGCGAGGAAGCAGACAACGATGGGTCTTCACTGACGCCGCCCCCGCTCCGGCTGGGGTCGGCGGATAAAAAGTGTCAACGGTGGCCTCGTTGAGGTATTTGTGCCTTTTAGCAGGGAATGTGGGTTTGGGCTAGGCAGCCTCACATTTGTCACAGGAAGCCGAGACAAAGAAACGAGATGAGTTCCTCAAGAAGAGCTTGGACAAAGCATTCTCCAGCGTGACAGGCGATCGCATCTTGGATCTGCAGGTGAGCGAAACCCTGAACACTGGCGGCCAAAAAACCCCAAGATCTGCCCTGAACTTATCATGCTGTACATCTTCCTTGTCTGAGTGGATCCCCCTGCAAGGATTAGTAATTTTCTCCTGCTTGGCACAAACGTTTTGTGACCGAGGAGACAGCATGTCATTCAAGGACTACCAGGCGCTTGTGAACCCTGGGACATTCGAGATACCGGAATCCCCAAGTAAACGCTGATGAACAGCAACGCAGAGCGCCGGGAACAAGAATGTCGTAGATTCCTTGTTAAGGTTCCAAGTCCTCAAATTGTTTTAATTTTCGGTGTGGAACTGCTGATGTTGCGGAGGGTTTTTAGCCGAAGGCTTGGCGATGTATTTCGGTGATGCAATATGAAAAAGGCGTGGTGCTGTAGTGGGGGATTTACCAGGCCCTCTTAGACGAGGACGGCATTTGCGAGGACCTTTGCTCTGCAGCAGTTGAATCGATTAAGCTCTTCTGCATCATCTGCATGTTCTGGGATGCCTTGCGCGCTGTGAACGGTACTCGTTTCTGCAAACAATGTGACTGGACAACCCTCGCAATGTGCACGTCAGGGATTCGCGACTGAAAGAAGCTACCAGTACTGCGACTGCAGATGATTGCAGGAGCTGTGTGAGATTTTGGACATGGACAAGGACGAGCTTCTGGCTGCATGGGATCCGCGGCTCTGCATTTCAGGGTGGCGGCAGAGTGCTTTAAGTCTAGTCTGCAGCAGTGGCCTCACATTCCCGACGTTCACCTGCGCAAGCCTTGCAAAGCCTGAATGCGCCCTTCCGTCATATCCGAGCCGCATTGGAGCCGCTTCGCATCGCTGCTCAGGAAGGCTTCCCTAAGGAGAACCGGCAGATGTGCCGGACTTAGTCAAGCAAAAGTTCTCGTCGTGGGCGCGGAATGCTTGGTTACTGAGTGTAGGTTGCAGCGAAGACCTCCTGTTCTCGCAACATGCACGGGATGGCTCTGGCGGCCGGCCCCAACTTCCACAACTCCAAATTCCCAAGGTTTCTCCAAAACCTTGAAGTTCCGAAGACAGTTCCGAAGGTGAGCAGTGAGAAGTGCCAGCAGCCACAAGACAACACCCTGAGGCCTTGACTCCTGAACCCCCTAAGAACCCCAGCAGAAACAGTGCCAAATTCAAGGTATGGTGGGCACCATGAGATTGTCGCTCGAGATAACTTCGTCGACTCGCTGATGAGCCTCGGGATACGAAGGGGATGTCGACCTGAGCTGAGGGGTCGGCTTGCATTCGATCATTACCCTTTAATCCCTAGACAGGCCATACATTTTTTCAAAGGGCCCCTAAACCTGCCCCAGTTGGGGGTTTCGGGCCAAAAGGCCAAGGCAGTGGCTACCTGCAATTCTAGCACAAAGGGCCTTGCCTTTCTAGGCTCGAACCTTAAGCCCTCAAGAGGTCCACAGGGTTTCGGGGATCAGGGTTGGCATTTAGTCTTTCTGAGGCTTCAGGGTTCAAGAGTTTGGAATGGTGCTTCTGGCCTATTCGCAGATTTCTGCATGTGGAACACCAGCAGTCCAGGTGCTAAAGCCGATAAAGGCGCTCTTAGCCACCAACTCTACCCACTAGCGGCAACCTGAACGGCTCTTTGGAGCTGGAAGGCCCGTGATTTGAAAAGCCATTGAAACCCCTAAGCCCTTCGCCAATTTGCAGCACGTAGATATCTCGAACGCGCTACTTGGGTTGGGCTCAATTGGCTCGCAAAACAGAATCCGTGCTCCGGGCAGTGTGTGATGTTCAAAGGGTCACCCTGACTCCAGGAAGGCGAAGGGAGCAGTGGACCTCCTGTCAGTCACCCGCGCCTTGGCTGAGGGTTGGGTTGACGGCAGCAGAGGGGTTTGGTATCGAAAGCGAATGCGGCTGCTTCCTCCGTGTCTTTGAGCCCATGCGTGAGAGCGAGGATCGAAATCCTGATCCCTAAGCCCTACAGATGTTTTCAGGATGTGCGAGGCCACAGCCCCCATGTGCAGGCGTATATCAGAAGCTGGCCCGGATCGAGAAGGCCCTTCGTGTTCCGACATCATGAAGCTGCGGCCAATGCATCTGCAGACCGGGACCCGCTGGCAAGCAACATCTATGTATGTGTAGTGCCCCGAGAATCCAGTAGCTCCACGACAGCCTAGTTGAGAACATTCATTTTACTTACTGTGTGCGGGAATCCTAATCTGGTTTGCGGAATATCCTCATTGTAAAGCCTGCCAGTGACACTGGACTGTGAATTAATGACTCGCTTGTTGGAAAAGCCTGCCGAAATCTGGTGGAAAGATGCAAGGCAGAATGGTCACAGAGCACACTTATCGTCGAGCAACACATGCCCTGCAGCTTTTACGTCCATCCGTTTCAACAGCGAAGCTGGGCAAAGAAAGGGCTCCCGTGGTCCTTGTCCGGCCTGGGGTTACCTGCAGCGCAAACCTCATGGCAGAGCAGTGCTTGTGATGTTAATGGTGATGTCATCTGCGTGAACTGCAGCACCCAGGAGGGCCCTTACTCAGCTGCTCTTATCAGGATCGTAGCAGTTCCGGTCGGTAACAGCTTCTGCGTTCCGACAGGTTGCCGAAGTCCTTTGCCTCCAGATTGCTAGATTCACCCCAAGTCCATGAAAACTCACACCCAAATCACGTACCTTGAGAGTGGAAAGGCCAAGCAAGCAACATTTCGGGGGTCGAGTCAGGAGCTTCTTCTTTAAGTTAGCTATTCGGGCTTGGGGTGTAGGAACAGCCTCCCAGCCGTGCATAGGAGAGGCAAGTGGGCTTCGAACGGCAGGCTTACGTAGAACTGCCTACAGTTTTTCAACAATCTGGCAGGCAGATGTTGAGTTTTTCCCGGGATGCCTCAGACAAGAAGAAGCCCCGCTTTCTTTCGGGACACACTCCCCTGAGCTCAAAAAGACTCTGTCTTCATTCAGCTGACCTAAATCATCCAAAATCCTAAGCTAGTCACCAAAGGTGTAAACGAACTGTACCTGGACACTTAGTTCTAGTTTCTGTTTTGTGGCACCGAAATTTTGTAACGATTAAGTATCTAAGCAGCTAAGGGGGCAAGAATGCTTTGGGCTGCTACGAAGATCTCGGAATAGGCCAATAGGCAGCAAACCCCGCCAGATGCCATGATCTCTGCCATGCCAGATCGTTTCTGCAGTAGATAGACAGGACTCACAGAGACGAGACGGCCGTTCTTTGAACTGGAGGGCTCGCTGCACTCCCAGCATGCCCCAACGATGCACACGGACAGAAAGCACGATATTGTTGTAGGTTATCATAAGATAAGCATGTCAATGTATGTCATGTATGTCGTATGTCTCACGGAGTTCTCACGGCTCTGCCCAGACGAACAGTTGACGAACTGTGCCTCCCAGATGCCATGGTCAAAACGACTGTGGGCTCAGGGCAGATTTCAAGCCGGCCATGGCTCTTGATTGAGCCAACAAACCTTGCAGCGTTGAGGGAGGCTTCTGGAAATCGTCCAATGCTTTCATACTAATGTACTTGGATGACCTACGCGTCTGTGAAAAAAGGAAAGCCCCTCCCCCCACCTTTGCACGCAGTGGCCCTGATCAAGCTGAACTTTGGCCATGATGTTCGCAGTCGAGGCACATTGACGCATGACTGCTGCTCACACCGGTGTTTGCAGTCCACTTTGTGATACGCTGTGAGCAAGCTTGTTGCATCCTTCTGTCTGCCCTCACCTATTTGTTTGCGAAGTTCGCTGTCAGAGAGTAAGGTGGCGGCTGGTCAACGTGGACACGATCCCAGTCGCATGGGCTGTCCATGAGTTGCCGCTGCGGCTGCAAGAAGGGCTCTGACCAAGTACCGTACCGAGCTTTTAATTTAGGATGTTGGGGGGGGGGGGTTTGCGGGCCAAGAGATTTCAGCTCGAGGTAGGCGCTTGAATCTCAAGACGAAGCATGTACACGAGTTGGAACTGACGGAGCAATGTCAACTGCAAGATGCTTAGAGCTCAATTCGGGCCGCAGTGTGTGACGAACGATAATGTTCATCTCAAGTTCAATAAAATGTGATTATCAGTGGATAAAAGTCAGCATGTTTTGTTAAGTCGCTTGTGTCGTCTGTACTACGATGACATGTTTACATTTGTAGTTGTTGCACCAGAATTTTCATCGTGACTAAATACACGGCGAATGTGCTGAAAAAGATTATCCTGTACATTGGGCGAAGAATACTTCATTCATTTGTATCCAAAGGTTTTGACTTTTGCCGTACAGGCAGGAGCTTTGACGGAGGTTCACGCTGTATTTTCGGAGTTCTAGTCAAGCATAGCCAGGGGGAATAGAACATGTAGAAAGAGATGTTGAAACCATACAGGAACACAGGCGCCAACCGGAGCAATGCAGCAATCGCGGGGTGCTTCAAGGAATATCTTTGATGTTTGCCTTTCAGAGGATGACTTGAATATTGACAACAATGCAGACTGAAATGGGTCAAATACACACATTCACACACTTGGAACAGGAGCGAATTGTTAAGGTATGTTTTAAATAATGTATTTATGAAGCCCAGGACTTTCCACAGTGATGCCCTTTGCCAGCAACAGCTCTCAGCCTCTTCGCGGCAGGAAGTATTCGCTGCCCAAGGTCCACAAGCGCAAGTCGTAATGCATGAACCTCCGTGTGGTTGCTGCATCATACACAGACGTGCACTCGTGTAAGTTGGTACAAATCGTGTTTGCTTTTATGGCGTGCGCTTGGGCACACACACATATACATACACATGTGCAAAATGCAGCACCCAAGTGGACAGAGGCATGACTGGGGTGGCGATGTTGATGTTCCCGAGACACTGGAGAGACCAAAGCACTCAGCAATTTGCGACAACACGTCCCACGAACGTGGATCGAGCCGGACTTAGCCTGTAAAAGGGCATCCAGATTAGCGTCCAAGACAAAACCGACTCAAGCCTGGCCCCCATCGGCAAGCTCCGATTGCCAGGCTTGAAGCATCCCAAAGCGAAGCAACTGCGCCTCCTCAACTTTCAAATCTGACTTTCCTATGTAGGACGTTAGGGGGTTCGGAGCACAGGGGTTCCCTTTACGTGGCTATGCGCATAGGGCACAGGCCACCTAATTCCCCAAGATTCCCTGCCACCAGAAAGCTTGGGATCGCAACACGTCAAGGCCTCTGCTCGGCTCTCTGCCGATTCGCCTAGCCGGGCTGCCCTGGAGCTGTTCAAGGCCGGGCACCTGCGGCGGGAAAAGAGTGTGTCCACACTTGTTAAGGCAAAGCCGGCAAAGCCGGCAAAGCATCTTGTGAAGCTCGCATAAGCTCGCTTAGCCCGGATGGCCTGCATTGAAGGAGGCCTCCAAAATCCAAACTCGCAGTGCTCGTGACAGATCAATTGCAGGAAAAACGGCGTGCGTGCAATGAGTGGGTTTTTTGAGCGCGTCCCTTATATCGCGCGCATGCACAAAGCAACGCTTTGTTGAGCCTGCGAAGCGGACCGGCTGATAACACTCCAAGAAAAGCCTATAGTTTCAAAAAAGAGAGCCTGAAACGCACCGGATCCAGGACAAGCTTGATTCTGCCTAGATGCACCGAGTGTGAGAGTTGACTGTCACAATGAGACAGAAGCATGCGCCTAGAATTCTTATCCCTTTTCCCGACGCAGGGTATGGTTTGTGAGAGCACAGCATAGTTGGACGCAAGTGCGTGTGTTCCAGGCCTTCGATGGCAACCCACGCACCGCATGGGCTCTTCAGAAGCAATTATCTGAAAAGGCTATTGGAGGAAGATCGTGTCTATACCGCCAGCCACCACCTTCACATTCTTGCATTTGCTTGCACTTGTATTGTGCTCGTGCCGCTTCAAAAGTTGTCTGACTCGACATACTCGACGTTGCACTAGAATTGTTGTGCCTGAGGTTTCCAGCTGTTCTCCGTGCCCTTCCGGTGCAGCTTACCTTGGCTTACGATTCGAGGCCGTGACAGTTGGACCCTGCAAAAAGAACAGGCAGGCAGCTCTGGCTCGAAAACTAGAACGCTTTAATCTCAGCAATAGGATCTTACATCACCCTTCAAGGTCATCTTGCAGTTAAGAGCAAAGCACGGGTGGCCGTGAATCCGCGAGCCCCGCACTGGAAGACTACAGCCGCAGGCACCCGTCCTCGTTAGATGCCTCACGCTGCGGCATGCCGAAGATGCAGATTCTTGGCTGTTGGCTGGCATGTATCATGTCTTGTCTTGAATTCGCTGAGAAGCAAAGACTGTGCTGCAAAGCCGATGCCGAGACTGAGGACTACAGGCCCACTGCTTTGGATCTGGAAAGATGGGACGAGGCAACCTGTGGAAAAGGACTGAAATGAGGCTTTGCATATGGTTCAGGTGTTTCGGTCCAGAGCATACGTATTGTCTTCCTTGTTCTTCCTTCTGAGATCTGGCGCACGCCTTTCCCGTTTGCATGAGCTTTCAGCCAAAGCCCAGGACGCGGCAGCAGCGGATGCGGGGGTGGGTGGGGTGGGCGAGGGAGTGATTTAGATGATGGGTCCTTTTGAAAAAGGGTCTCCGTCAAATAGTCATCCTTCTATTCCTTCTAGTCTAGTGTGTCAAAGGTGCGCAAAGCTTACCCTAATAAACACAAGGCCTCAAACCCGGACGGCAACATACAATAGCAACCTTGGCAGGGTGGCTGGAGAACTGTGGCTACCTTCACTAGCCTGCTTGGAGGTCCGGTAGGGTCCTGGGGTTTTGGCGCCATGTCCTTCGGCAAGAGTGTTTGGCCTCTGCTAGAGTTGAGCTCTGCGGTGGCATGGCGTAGGATTCATTCCTCTTTGCTGTTTGATGGGCAGGCTTGCTGCAGCTGTCACCCAGCTGGGGGCAACCACAGACGCGCACCTGGTCTGACCACGCTTGAGCGAGCGGAGAGAGAGCGAGAGAGCGAGAGAGAGAGAGAGAGAGAGAGAGTGAAACCAAGAAGCAAAGAAAGAAAGAAAGAAAGGCGGAAAGAAAAAAACAAAGAGTTCCCTTGGCTGCCTCTGGGATCTTCGGCGAGGTTTCTTGTCCGCGAACGGAGACCATGCCCTGCCGCGGCTCTCCGGGTCCCCCATCCACCTCCTTCTGCCATATTCTGCCGCATGATTGAAGGGCACAGCGTGCAGTTCGGAGTCGTCGAGGTTCACGTTTCTTTCACCTGCCATTGGCCGAAGCCCCTCTCAGATCAAGCCATCATGTAGACACCAAGGAGTCCCGGTCCCAAATCCGGGAGCCGCTGATCATGGGAGAGCTTCGCTGACAGGTGGGGGTGAGGGTGGATGGGAGGTGCGACTCCCATCCAGACCTATAGATGCAGCAACACCATGACACTCAAGGCAACACTCGCACTGGTTCAGCACGCAAACGCGCTATATGGCGAGCGCTTCGTCATTACTTCTTGTGGGGATGGACACGGTACCGTGGCAATCTAATTAGACATGACTCGCGCCTGGCTGCTTTCTTTCCAAAGGAAGACATAGCTGCTGTTCGCACGTTGTTTGCAAGCAAGAGACGGTGGTGGTATCAGCAAGATCCCCTGCTGCCATTTAGACGTAATGATCATCAAGTTCATCTTCCGGCCACCACTGCAAAAGAGGAGACTGCACACACAGTCAGAGGAGGTGTTCTCCAGCTTGTGACATATAATTGTCGGACCCTCGGGCACTCATCGGCAAGGCTTGTTGAGATTGCTGAAGACTTGCACTCGAGAGGGGTGCAGACCGCTGCGCTGCAGGGTACCTGCTGGAAACATGCCACGCCACGTTCAGAATGGACAGTTTACAGCAGAGAGGGCCGGCCAATCTACTTCTGCTTCTCTTGGAGTAAAGCCGGGAGTGATACGCATGGTGGCGTTCTGCTTTTGCTTCAGGTGGAGAGATTTGACAAGCAGAAGTTCACCGAGCGCTATGATCCAGTGAAGTGTTGTGCTGGCAGGATTGGCGGTGTTCGATATGTGGATCGTAGAGCTGAGGGCCCACAGGATCACACCTTCATCACTGCTTATGCCCCGCAGGAAACAGCGAGCGATGAAGACAAACAGGCCTTCTTCACAGAGCTTCAGACTTTGGTGCAAACCCTGCCTCGGCGCACAGCAGTGTGGATGATGGGAGATTTCAACGCGCATGTGGGGCCCGATTCACAGCACCGCAGTGTCGGACGCCAGGATGCTGAGCCCACGAATGACAACGGGCTGCTCTTGGGGCACATGTGCGACAGTCTTGGGCTCTGTCTGGTGAACACTTTCCACGCAGCGGGAAGTACATGGTGGTCGGCTGATCAACTGACTGAACACAGAATTGACTACATCGCAATGCGACGGGCTTTTCAACGCAAAGTGAAACGCTGCAGGGTCAGCAAGCTGCTAGGGCGCAGATGGCAAACAACACCAACTGCTGACCACTGGCCGCTGGAGCTAGCGGTAGGTCTGCAGGCCGCCTGGGCTAAACCGCGTCCGAAACATGCTGTGCTTCAGTGGAACAGGCACGCCATCCTCCGTGCTGCTACGGATCCAACGCGCTACATGCCCTTTCTTCAGGACGTTTCGGAGGCGCTGCTGCAACATTCTCTCACAGATTCTGGACAGAATGCTCAGGAAGGATGGAGCGGGATCAATGCCTCCCTGCACGGCGTTGCTGTGAAGCATTTCTGCATGCAGCCGGGCCAACGCAACCCAAAGATCCTCCCGCAGACTTTTGTGCAGCTCCAGCGACGCCGCGAAGTCATGTACATGTACCTGGAGGAGAAGCAGCAGCTAGTGGCCGCGTGTAGTCAGCAGCGTCGTTTCTGGCTATTGCGTGTAAGCTTCAGGGCGTGGCAGCTTCAAAGGCTCATGGCACAAACTCAAAAAGCTGTGCGGGATGATGTGAAGGCCTGGGAGCGCGTGTTGGCGGACAAACTGCAGTCTGCTGTTGATAAGAACAACAGTCGTGAAGCATGGAGCCTGTGCCGTCAGCTTGCGGGCCGGCATTTCAAGAAGCTTGGAGGCCGTGCGCCGCCCTCTGCCAAGCCTATCCCCAAGACATCCTGGGTTCAGCACTTTCGAGCAGTTCAGAATGGAACGGAATGTATTGAAGCCACTGCTCGAACCCCTGATCAGCCTCTGCTCTTCAGTCCGCTTTTCCGAGGCGAGGAAGGCTGCTGAAAACTTGCAGACGCAGCGCGCAAAATGCCGCGCGACAGAGCCACGCCCAGCGGCGCCTTACCCATCGAGCTCTGGAGCATCATTTTACAGCCTCCTGATCGAGCTATGTTGCCTCCAGGACACTTGCTTATGCCTCAACTTGAGCGTTTGCAAGAAATGGGTCAGAATCCTGCTGAATGGTGCATTGGCCATGGTTGCGCCATCCCAAAACCGGGTGGTGAACCCACGCCAGCTGGGATGCGTGTGATCAACCTGCTCGATCCCATGGGGAAGGCGTTCTTCAAAGCCACCTTGGATGCCCACGCTGACCAGAGAGCAGAGCATCAGTATGGCTACGCAAGAAGATGCTCTCGCCGTGACGCCATCCTTCAAATCACCACGCTTCTTGAACGGCTCTACAAGGGCCGCCTCTGCACTGCAGCGAATCTCTACGATTTGACCAAAGCGTTCGACATGATTAGCTCCCACAGCGTGGTGCGCGACCTTCGGAACAATCAGCCGTTCCATGAATGTTCTCTGGCAATGCTTGAAGACATGCAGGGACGACTTCGCATCCGCATGCCTTTGGCGACTGGTGGGAGTTTTTGTGTTTTGCTCAAAGATGGAGTTTTGCAGGGTGGAGGCACTGGACCACGGCTTTTCAGGAGAGTGTACGACAAGGTTGTGGGTGACTGGAAGGATGTGCCACCTTGGATGGTTACACTTGCGTTCGTTGCAGTGGACGCACCTTGGACATCTCGACGGCCTCGTACGCAGATGATTTGATCCGCGTCGAAGCGGCCCAAACAGCAGCGGAGGTTGAAGCTACAACACTCGACAAAACTCAGCAGTTGAAGCAGTCTTTACAGCCGCACAGACTCCAAATGAACATGAAGAAGTGCGAGTCTCTTGTGAGTGTGCGCGGCAAAGGTGCGTACGTTTCGGCTAGACGCTTGTACGGAGGTGCTTGGATGGGACCTCCCCTGAAAGACTCTGTGAAATATCTAGGGGCACACTTGCAAGCGCAGCCCTCTTGCAAACTTGAGGTTACCAAGCGCATAGCTGCTGCAAGATCTGCATTTGCGATGTTCGCCAAGTTCTTCCGGAGATCTACAGTGCCCCACCAACGCAAGATCATGGTCTTTCGAGCCGTCGTGAACGAGGCGCTCCTTTCAGCACTCGAAGTGAGAGTATTGAGCCAGAGCGGCCTTGACAAGTTGGAAGCTGCTAGAGGGCTTCTTCTGCTGCGCATTTTCGGTGTGCGAGGATTTGGCAAGGTTTCCACTGAGCAGGTCGCAGTTTCTGTTCCGATTTCCTTGCTGAGACGAGTCTGTGGATTGGCTGAGGTTGCTACTGAGCTTCGCGTCCGAAGGTTGCTATGGCTCAGGAGCTCCCTGCTCGCAGAGCGAGACGGCGATGTTCGATTGGAATTGGCTGCGAATTTCGGGGTTTTTCCATGGCAAGCCACAGCACCAATCAACGAAGTTGGACAGCTCACTCCCGCTGCTCCAGCGTTTCTGTCAATCCTAGACGGCGACCTTCGTGCCCTGCTACCGAGTTGGAAAGGCTTTGTGGCAGGATGGAAGGAGAACTTTTTGCAGACAGCAGAGTCCAGCATTCGAGACATGAGGGGTACCTTTGGTGATGCTTCGCTACCCCAGTCTCTGCAGCAGCCGTGCACTAGAACATCGCGCGAGCCATCGCGCGGCCCTAGGAGCAATAGGGATGCAACGCGACAACCCTCTCTGCAGATTGTTGAGTCTCCGGCTGAAGTAGTGCGCTCACTCAGGGTTCTCAGTGATGGCGCAATACCAGACGCTGACGAGGAGTTGACAGACCAACAATGGCTGGCTGGAGTATACTGCGGGCATTGTGCCCATGGCCCTTTTCATTCAACTAAATCTTTCGCTTCGCATGTGGTCATCAAACATGGTGTGCGACATCGCATTCAGACCACGGCTTGCCCCACTTGTGGCAGACAGTTCACAAAGACATCAGCGTGCAGGAGGCATGTTGCTCAACTTTCGTGCAATAAGCACGTGGTGAACCATGGGCGTGCAGGAGCTTTAGCAGGGATGCGAGACATGTTTAACCGCCAGGCAGCTGAAACAGCTCGTGTTGATGCCAGCGTGACAGGTGTGGGCTCAAGTCACGCGTCATCTGCTAGCGCCTCAGTCCTTCCCGGCAGTGTGGATGGCAATGCTGTCGTTCATGGCAGACGTGCAAGAGCCCAGCCCCACAGTTGCGGCTCCACTCAAACGGCAGCGTCCAGACGCGAAGCATTCCGGGGGACAAGGTGGCAAAGGGTCCATGGAAGAGCAGGTGACACAGTTGGCCAAGCAGCTCAAAGCAGTGGTGAAGATCGTAGGGCAGCACGACAAGGACCTCCGCGAGCTCGAAGCCTGGAGCTGCCACACTTTTTGCTGCCCAAAGAGACCGACTTGTCCAATGCCCTCTTGGCGTCCATGGCGGCGTGGAAGGCTCGGATTCCAGACAAGGGCCCTCATCCTCTGGGTGCTCCTCGCCGGACGGTCGCTGGGACAGTGGCGCAAGAGCTGTTGAAAAATGAGGAGCATCATGAGAGGCTTGCCCGCTTCAAGGCGTTTCATGGCAAGCTTACCTCACTTCCAGACATGGAGCAATCCATTCAGCTGGCAATGGCTCGCGAGACTCGTGACGGACATGTTTTGCTCAAACTTCGTCCGCAGGCTTTGGCGCAGGCTGAGTGGACAGAAGCCGTCGCCCTCCTTACCGAACTGATTTCCCAACAGGGAGGTGAGAAGAAAAGTGGTGCAGCGCCGCCGGGCTCGCTTGTACGACAGCTTGGCGCGAAGCCGGAATCTTCCTGAGAGCAGTGCCTTCAACGGGGAGCTCGACTGAGTACCCCCGGGGCCCAGCCCCAGAGCCTTTTCTGGGTAGCAGGCTGGAGTCGGCTTTTCTGCTTGACAAAGTTTTGTGTTCATCTCCACACCTAGCGTGTGCGCAACGAAAGTTGTGAAGTGACATTTCAGCCGAACAGTGCTGAATCCCGACACGAGTCTTTTTTAACTTGAGCATGAAGGTATGCTCCTCAGAACCAGGACTCAAGCGGACAGGCAAGTGCAAGTGCAAGTGCCATTGGCCGGCTCCGTCTCTGCTGGATGTATGGGACGCGGAAGCGAAACGTGGCGATGAGTCAGACAGCTTTGCGCATTTTTCGAGGGAGGAACGTGGTAAGTAGGATTTCTGTTGCTCGGAACGCGAACTCAGCAGTAGCCTCACGGTGCTTAGAGTTCGCAGGTACAGGGGGAAGGGGTGGTGTGTGTAGGATGTTGCTGGGACCGCGAACTCCACCTGTAGTTTAAAGAACATCGCAGTTGTGCACCATGCACAGGCGCGTGCTGCAGTGCAGGGCCCTTAAAGCCCCCCATGATAAAGAAAGAACGAAAGAGAGTAAATATGAGAGAGAGAGAGAGAGATGTGGGGGGGGGGGGGGTCCCTCAAGTGTGCAGAAGAACAAGAAGAAGCAGAAGAAGAAGAAGAAGAAGAAGAAGAAGAAGAAGAAGAAGAGAAAAGTCCAAAGAAGAATAAGAGAACAGGCTGTCACGAAAGGCCAGTCCCCATCGAAACTCACGCCAACGTTTGGGTGGGCTCTCGCATTGCGGAACATATGCCGTGCCAGCAGGATCGGGAGGGGAGCAATCCTAACTTCCTACTCCTGTGAAGGAGAAAGGCAAGAAGCCAAAAAGAAGGCTCTCCACCAACGGCTCTGAAGGTGTGCAGCAGCTGTCCGATTGAAACACCCATCCACTCCAGACCTTCCATGATATGAGTACTACACAATTATAATCTTACAATCATATAAGCATATGAGTTTGCAAGCACACACGTCGAGGCTTCGTGGTGGGAAACAGCCAGGCCACTCCGGGAGGCTGTGGAGCAAAAGCATTAGCGTGCCCGTCTTTAGCGACTTGTGCAGGAAGCACGTCTGGGATTCCGAATTTTGCAATGCATTTATACAATACCATTTTCTTATCTGTTACTATAATATTCCTACGTCGTCATATTATGGCGCAATACTGTTGCTGCTGGTCAGGCTGGAAGGTGGCTGAGCTGCGGTTTTTCCGGGATGAGGCACGGGAACCAAAGCTTTGCCTGCGGTGACCAAGCTTAGTTTATGAGGCCTGCCTCACGCGCATCCGCGGCATTCCGTTTGCAGTGGATGGCCCGGGCCACAGCAACATCAGTGCACCCCGTGTCCTCGTACGGAAACTGGCAGGAATGGTTTCTCAGTTAGTTTGGAGTGCCTCCAGACATCTCTGCAGGTGATTCGGCTGATGCCGACGGGGCTTTGGACGGCAATCTGGATTCAGTTTGGTTCGCCAATTGTGACCTGGCATCGATCACGATTTTGTGGGGGTTTGAGCGGCGCTGCACTGCTGCTGCGGTCTGGGCTGAAAAGCTGATAGTAGTGAGTATAGTGAGTCGAAGATGTATGCCTGTCAGTTTTTCTTTCACTTCTTATGCACAACTTGTGTACCAGTATCAGGTACGGCTGTTTTGGAAGCCGAAGCCATGAGGTTGCAATATGCACGGGGATTTCCTGATGACGGGCTGCAGCGGCTGCCAGATGGGTGAAGCATGGGCGCCTCGCTTGCTTCTGGAGCCTTTGTGTTAACTTGTGGTTCTTGGGGGGGGGGGGGTGGTCGGGCAGGGGCAGAAATTTGGCACTTGAAGCGAAAGAAGTCAAAGGTGGCAGAGATTGGTGCCAAAGAAACACTATGGGGTTCGGGGGGCATTGTTCTATGGTAAGGTCGGCGTGATGCTGCTGCTCGGCTGCACTGAAGGGGGCGGGGGGGTTCAACATGCTAAATGTATGGAGAACCGTGAGGAACCCCTGTGCCCTGTAAACCTGATTGCCAATTGCTACGTGGGAGCGAAAAAGAAACCTTTGGCAAGATCTTTGCTGCCCCATGGACGGAGCATTGCTAGGGCTGTGGCCAGAAACCCGTGTATGAGATTTTATTGTATTCTATCCTTTATTTTATTCAATTACAAAACTATTTTTTCATTATATTGTTATATTGTGATTACACAATTATTCTATTGCTGTATTCATATATGCCAGAAAATTACAATATTACAATATTACTATTTTGTTATATTACCTACATTACTATATCATTATATCATTGTGTGATGTTCCAGCATTTAGACAAGGAGGCCTGTTAAAAGCCTTGGGACGCCTTTGATCCGTCAGCCTCTGAAGCGAAGCGCGGCGTCGGCAGTGCTTGTCCTGAGGCCTCAAAATGACACGGTGAGGTGTATTCAGCTGCTTGGAGAGACTTGGTGAGTGGTTGATTTAGGGTTGATTTAGGGCCATTCTAGGGCCTCGACTGGAGCTGCGCAGCTTGGCTTATCCTGGTCGGATCTGCTGCTAGCTGCTTGCACGCGTATCGAAGTGTCCAAAAAGCACTCCCGCTGCGAAGGCTGCTCCAGCGCGGCGAGCAGCTCCCTTCTGGCACCGAGCGCTTTGCCTCGCGCGGAGTGGCGTTGCGCCAGTGGGCCCGCCGACGGTTGTTGGGCTGAGGGCTGGAGGTTTGTCACAAAACTCCGACTCCTTATGTTGTCCGGCTTCTCTGGAATTGGCGGCCGTGACAACTGATGGTTAAAGATGGAGAAAGCCATGCATGTGTTTCTTGCGGAAGCAAGCAACCAATAGCAAATTGCAATTTCATCTGCAACAGCTACAGCGGCATCGTGCCAAGCTTCCCTTCAAAATCCTCAAGATGCTACAAGCGCCTCCCTCCTCCGCTTGCAGCCTGCATTTGATGTAGAATTTGATTCGTCTGAGAGGCCGGATCCTCTTTCCAGACCGTGGACGTTTGGAACGGCGTGCCTCTGGATGCCACTGCGCACATATTGTAGGCTATGCGGAAGTGCGGTTTGCCAAAGGCCCAAGACAAGGATTCGCATTCAGTCAACATCTACATGCTGTGGTATCGTGCTGACCGGAGGTGGAATGTCAAGCATGCTTAGCGGAAGCAACTTTTAATTTGAACTGAACACCCAGCACGTTCAGAGAGGCCATGAGAGGTCTGACACAGCATCCCTGGCGCATCCAACTAGTCAGTGAAGGTCTGATTCCGCAAACATTGCTCCGTGATCATGCATGGTTCATGCACATCCCACTGTCCCATACGTCCCGCAATGAATCATCGCATTCCCGTAGTATTGAACGCCCCCCCCTCCCCCCTCGAAATGTGTGTTCAATATTAGGGCGATGTTTTTATCTATATTATGCCATCTTTTCGGATAGGGTTTAGATTGGCCTGAGGGTTTTTGAGGCCCTGAACCATAGGGGTTTAAAGGTGGGGTCGGTTTCGGCAGGATTTTTCGGAAAAGGTTTTTTTTTGTTTTTAATAGGGGTACGTTTGATACAAGGGGGAAGTGAATGGCCCTGACAAAAAACAAAGCCCTGCATACTGAGCCCTAAGTAAGCCCTCGAATATGTCCTCAGCCACTCAAAAACCCGAAAGCCCGATTTCCAACGAAGCCGAGGCTTGGGCCGAACTGGGGGTGGGGCGCGCAGTTGCAGAGCTCGGCGCGGCCAGAGGTTGCCAGGAGCTTTAGCGGTTTTAAAACAATCTTGGTTCTATCCCAAAAGTATGGGCGTTTGTTATAGTAGGACCCCCCAAACAGGACACCTAGCATGCAAATTCAAATGGATGTGTGGTAATCTGAAGATCGATGCAAAGAAGTCATGATTGGTTGCCAGGTGTTTTGCCATCCATTCCGTGCAGCGATGGTGGAGCTAGTAAAAGCAACCACACAATGTGCAAAGGGCCGTGTGCTACAGCTAAGTTTCCCATGTTAACGTAACGTTGGCAAATCTACCATGGGCTGAGTAGATACGCCTGATGTTCCTTTACCTGTTCGTGCTCTCATGGGGGAGAGTGAGGCGCAATGGCACATCATTGGCATTGCGTGGTGTGTCGGAGTGTTAGATTGCAGGGCCCCAGGTGTCAACTCTAGAAAATCCGCGCTAAGCTTCTACTTATAGGCCGCATCTTGTCTTGCATGTGCCACTGGCCAGGATATTCCTGACTGGGAGAAGTGCAACGCTTCTTGGAGGGGTTTTGTAATTCAAGCTTCGGGTGCGCAGCATCAGCTAGGCAGTGTAAAGAGCCACGGCCAGAACTTAAGGCCGAAGTTGCTCTAAGGACACGGGCTGGAATTGCTCCACCTACGCTTTGAGTGACTCTTGCAACGAGACGTTTCAGGACGAAGCAGACTGTCGCGGACTTGGTCTGAGAATTGCTTGCATCAATCGCGGAACGGACTTGTAACAGCAAAGAGTTTCTCATGATCCCGCTGGCTGTGCATACTGCTGCATACGTTGGTATAGTGTGCTGCACCTTGCTGCTGTGCACTGGAAAAGATACTGGTCAATCAGTGAAGCTTGTCATATCGGGTTTACTGGTAGTTTTACATGGCATCAGCAAAGGAATCCATTTGCCTTGTGCCCCGAAATCCTAAGACCTGGCTGGGCTCCTCCCCCCTCCACTTGTCCCCACCGTGTTCCTGGTGCATGCTTCTGATTCCACCGCCATCCCACGAGGTTCGGTAGCGTGCCCTTGCGTAATTGAAACTACGAAAGCCCACCAGAAAGGCAGGTAGCTGAAATATCGGTTCGAATCGCTTGCGCTAATTAAGCCGGAATGGAATGCTCGTACGAATCAGGCCACAACAAAGCTCGCCCCATGCAATATATGTATACACATATATGTATTCAGTAGAAAATATGTGTATATGTATATATACACATATATATGTATTAATTTCAAGAATGATAAATTATACTAACAAT